ATGTTTGTTATTATTTGCATTCTTATCCAAACAGATGGCAGGCTTAAATTTCCCAAGCTCTATTATTACCTCTCTGCCTTTTCCAGTGTTCTGTCAAAATAAACAGTAATTCTTGCTGGGGCAGGGAGTTAGGAGGCTGTGTGTGGAAATCATACTGAATCGTACGAAGTAAATGATAAACTTAAACTTTTTTTTGTTTGTATCAAAAACATTCATTGGAAAATTAAATTATTAAAATAATGTTAACTGTTTTATCAAATTAACAAATTAAACTGTTAAAGACATACTAAGCCAGTGATATAAAAATAATAGGATGAAGTTGACCAAAGGTTTGATCAGGTTTTTAATCTTTGATCTCATTTTATTTTTATATTATCTTTGTTGTTGAAAGTATTACAGATGTCCCCTTTTTGGAATTTTTGCAAAGTGAGATTGTTGGGCTTTGGGGCTGTGCATCATAGGCTTGGTTTCAGGAGAGAAGCTAACTGTAATTGTGGCCCCATATAGTGACATAGCATATGTGGACTATAGTGCCTTCACCCAGAAGCAAGAAAATGAAGGGAGTTAGGAACATGCAAAGCCTAAGGGGTCATGGAAATTGAAGGCCCACAAGCTGCATGCATCAGTCTGAAGGATCTTAAATAGAATCTTAGAAGTGGAAGAGACTGAGTAGTGGAGATTCCAGCTTGTAAAATCACACTGGCTAGGAAGTATAGTGAATCTGTTAGGATACTGATTTGCTTCCTTTAACAACTACCAAAAATAACTAGCTTAAACAAGATAGCAGGCATATATGTCCGGGAGGCCTAGGGCAGCTCTGTTCTATGAGATCATTCCATCCTCATAAGTTCCATCCTCACAAAGCTCTACCATCCTTTGTTGCCCTCATCCTCCTGATCACTATGTCCTTCTAGCTAGGGGAAATGGAGAGAAGAGGAGAAGGTGGAGGGCATGTGCCCCCTTCCTAGGGCATGACCCGAAAGTCAAACATATCACTTCCCTTTATATCTAATTTGCCAGAACTTTGTCTGATGGCCTCACCTAGCTGCAAGGGAGGTTGAAAAATGCCTTTTTCTGGGTGGCTATGTACCCAGCTAAGATAAGGGGAAATACACTTAGTGGCCAGATTATTATGACCACCTGACATTTGTAGGCAAATTAGCTATAATTTCATGCTGAAGTTGCTAGAGGGCCAGACCATTATAAACAGGGAAGCAGGTTGTTTACAATGACAGTAGAAGTGAGTTTTTTTTTTTTTTTTGCAGATATTTTTTTTTGCTATTCAGTAAGCATGATGTCAGATTCCTCACATCACCTTTCAACATCTCCTGGAGTCAATACCAAGAAGAATCGCTGCAGTATTGAAGGCAAAAGGTGGCCCAATGAAGTATTGATGAGGTGGTCATCATAATCGGTCCGGTCATAATAATCTGGCCACGGCAATTATCAGTCTCTGCTACACACAGAAGCAGTTTCACCTGGGATATTTACCTTGCTACTTTGCAAACCTGCACATTGATGTCAATTCCACAGGAATAAGATGAACTCATTTTGTTTCTCTGTTGCAGATTAACCCAAATGGTCCAGCCTGGTGCTGGTGGATATTAGCAGTTCTGCCGCTGGAAAGCCGTGCTCAGCTTCCGTTCCTAGCAATGAGGTCCTTGAAGGATAGACTGAATAGTATTCGGCGCATCCTCGCCTTTATAGCACGAAACCAAAACTAGTGAGAGTGAATTGATGAAAAGAAAATTTCACCCTCTCTACTGCCTAGGGGAGTCATCTTGTAAATATATCAAGTTGCAATAACATCTTAACTGAAGGAAGTATCAAATAGAGGCATTACCTTGCTGTTGATGATAGAGAGAAATTCAGTTGAAAGACCAAAGAATGTGACCTGTTAGAAACTTTCTGTGTTGAGATACTTCTTGACATGCTGCACAACTATAGCCACAGCAGAGGTGTTCAAGAGCCCAGAAAAAAAATTGCTTTTGACATAAAATTTTCTGAAAGTTTAAAGTGGTTTTGCTTTAATTCTCTTTCTTTCATCAGTGAATGACTGTGTGATTGAAATGTGAAGCAAAAATAGTAATAATCTTGCTGCATTATTTCACTGACTTGAGGCCCTATTCCAAATAGTTCAGGTTTTATAAAGCATTGTATAAAATAATATTTATACTCCTTTCTGTTTTAATAATTTATTTTTTGCACTACTGTATCCTTTTTTGTACATGTATGTTTGTAACTATTTAAGTGTGCATTACTGAATTCACTTGCTTTATTTATTGATGTAGTTAACCATGTAGCTAGAAGGAAGTAACAATACTAGAAATGTGCCATTTTTGCTTTAACCATTTTTACTAGGTTTGATTCCAGTTCTTGAACTATTTTTGTATCTCTCTAATTGGATGCTTAAAGGAACAATATAAAATACTTAAGGGATTTGCCATAGATTGTATAATAAGCCAGGATAAAGTAAAACCATCCATTTTCTATGTGTTACACAGAGCGCTTAAGGCATTATTTTTCTAGAATGAAGCAATGAATCAGAAGAGTGTCCTTTATTGCAGGCTATTATAGGCATTTATCTGAGCAATCTAATTCTGTGTTTCTTATCTCTCCCCAGTTCAGTTAGGAATGGGCTTTTTAGGCAAGATAATATTTAACCCTTCTGAGGGAATGGTTTTCAGTTAGGAATGTCACAGTGAGGCCCAACTAGCCTCCATACCCTGCCTCTTTTCAGGGTTCTTAGGGTCACAGCCTGGGCAGCATGTGTGGAAATACTTGATGAAGGACTGTCCATTATGAAAAGTGCAAAGAAGCTGGTAGAAAAGGTAAAATGCTTAAAAAACAACCCAAACTATCATTTTGGTTTTTTTAATCTTTTTAAAGGAACCAAAAAGTTAATTCATGATTTTATCTAGCAATTGCCTAGTTGCATTGGGCCAAAGATTTCAATATGGGGAAGAATGGTGGGTAAGGAGATAAGAGTGAGCCCTGGTTTAGCTTGCTTTAGAGTTAGTGTGGTTCCTTTGGTGCCAGGCCAACCTGAAAAATGGCGTATGTATGCGAGTGTTATAATAACAAGAGTGAAAAGATTAGGGCAGGGAAGAAGTGAATCATGCCATTTGTGCATTTAAGAAAATGGCCATCCCCCTCCACACTGTGATTCAGAACTGCAGCAGTGTGTTGTTTATTTGAAGTCTGTCCACTCTTTTAAGGTGAGAGGTTAATGCCTCAAGTAATGCCTCTGACTTCTTGCATCATCACCTGTGGCCAGAAACAGAAAAGGCAGAATGAGATAATCTGCACTTTCTTAATGGATGCTATGTTGTCAGAGCATCATGTTACCAGGTTTGATGTTTGGAGCCAGACTGGGCTGATGAAGAATGGAAGGACAGGCATGGTTACTGCCCAAGCGAAAGCTACCAGACTCCAGGAGCATTATATTACAGACTATGCCTCCAACTTGGTACACACCATGTGGTCATAACACAGTCCTAGTATAACAGTTTCCTATTATCTAGTGTAAATGTAACACCTGCCCCCCCCCAAAAGGGTCATAAGCATCTCCACTTGCTAGATGTGTTACTTTTGTGATTTCACTTTTCTTCCTGAGCCCGCGTTTCCTCATCTGGAAAATAGTAATGATAAATACCACATATAGGGTTGTTATGAACATCAAATGACGTAATATATGTAAACCAATTAGCAGGATGCCTAGCATATAGGAGACACTCAACAAATAATAGATATGATTAGATTACTCATTGTTACAGAATTTCATCAGGGCCCCATATTTGCATAAAATGCTACCTTTACACACAATACTCATCTCTAACCCCTTTAAACTCAGTTGCACCACTGAGTATTGGACCATAATCTGATGCTTTACAGATAGTTCCTTTTGGAGTCAAGTCTGTTTTGGAAAGTGAGAAGACTAGGAAACAAATAAGGCTCAGGGATAAAGGAGAATTCTGAGTCGGCACATTGTTTTTATTTCAATGGAGCTAAAAGGTATTGTTTGGAGGTCTAAAATTTCTAATTAAATGGAAACCTTGAGTTTTAGCTCCATTAGAATAACCAACTCATCACTCCCTGCTCTCCAAAATGTATTTAAAATCTTGGCCATGCCAGGGTGAGTGAATTTTACAATCTATGACTTTTGTGCTTAGTTCATGGTGTTTCTTTTTTTCTTTAAATATATTTTATTGATTTTTTACAGAGAGGAAGGGAGAGGAATAGAGAGCCAGAAACATCGATGAGAGAGAAACATCGATCAGCTGCCTCTAGCACACCTCCCACTTGGGGATGTGCCCGCAACCAAGGTACATGCCCTTGACCAAAATCGAACCTGGACGTTTCAGTCTGGAGACCGATGCTCTATCCACTGAGCCAAACCAACCAGGGCTCATGGTATTTCTTTATGCTGCCTCAACAAAAATGTATTGTGAACCCACTATGTACCAGGTACTGAGCCAGGTGGTTTCACATACATGAGCCTGTTACGTCATTTTATTTCTCACATCCACCCTGTGAGATCACATCGTCTCCAGATTGGATGAGAAAGCTGAGGCTCGGCAATGTTAAATACGTTGCCTAAGTAACATAGTCAGCCAGTAAGTAGCCAAGCTTGTTATTGAACCCATTACTTTGCAGATTTTTAACATTTTAAATAGTTTGTGTTATACATAATTTTATTAAATAGACATGACAATCAACTCAAAAGTACCCCAGAAACTCTCAGTGAGAAGTTGCAGGTAAGTAAAATTAAATTACCCAACATATCTCTACTTAATCTAGGTAGAAAGGGAAGTTTGAATTGTTAAAATAAAATTCCACACCATAGAATGCTTCATGTTGAGTGAGTATGTAACTCCAGCAAATGTAGATCTTGGCAAGGAAAAATTTTACTTTGCTCTCAGTAGCTTAGATACACATTTGGGTGGTTTTACAGCAAGCTTTTGTTTTAGTGGTGGGAGGCAGGATGCAAGGTTCAGCCTTGGCTTTCTTTGGGAGGTACTTGAATGGGGTAATTAGTTAGCCGTGACCATTTTCACCTCTTATGCATTGATTTTGCAGCAAAGCTTAGGAATGAAGATTATACAGCGACATAAAGCTAAGTTTAGCCAGGAGGACAAGACTTCTCCTTGGTAGACAGTGCCATTTATTTGGTTAGGTTTTCCTGTCTATCTGACCCAATCTTTTTCTAGTAGATTGTTGTGTGTGTGTGTGTGTGTGTGTGTACACTAGGTACCAGGCAGACATGCCTATCTGCTTTGTACTATATTACTGCTGCTAGCTAGCAAACAGCAAAATTTAGAAAATGGAATCTGATAAAGTTAATTTTTGGTAGACAACTCAGAAAAAAAAAGAGTGATTACCCCTGACTTAGGGGGGCAGGGGAAGTATTTCAACAATTTGCCTTTCCTGTAGGCTGACTGCTTGTAGATCTGTGGGGCTAGTCAAGTCACTGCACATGTGGCACTTCCAGCTCTGTCTGTGGAGCTTGCCTGGGCTCAGATAATCCCCTGTGACTGGCTATTGGAGCAATGGAGCTCCCGAAGCTGGCTCACAGCACCCAGAAGTCTCTGAACTGTCAACAGGTTGCACACTGTTGATGGGCTGGAATCCACTGGGGACTGTGATTCCCTAGGCCGACTCTGTTTCCAAGATGGATTTTTTTTTTCAGGGACTTATTCCTTGAGTTCTCAACATGCTGACTTTGCATCCATTCTCATTTACCAAGGCAGAATCATAGCAGAGGTATGGATCATCTAAACAGGCAAATGGAAAGCAACTGAAATAATGGACAAGGACAGATTTTTCAGTCCGTTCTCCAGCTTGTGGATTTTTTCCCTTGAATTAAAAAAACATATAATAGTAATGGTTAGAATATTCAATTTTTTTTTTGCAGGCAGAATTTTTTTGTTGAAGTTTTAATTCATGATCAAAGACAGATCTGAAAAGCAGCTGGCTGCCTGGGCTGCAATTTGTGGCCCTCCCTGAATGCAGAGAGGGAGAAGGAAAAAGAGCTGTGTAAAACGTATGTGTTCAATTCCTCCTAGAATGATAGCTCCTGCCATTCAACTATTTTATAATCTGGGTTTTGCACATCCAGAGGTGAAATGAAGACATTTTCACTAACAATTGGGTATTTGCAAATGCACTAAGTTTACCTTGAGTGAGAAGTGCCTGTAATATCTGTTCCTGGTGTCATTTTGAAGATTTGCTTCATGATTTTGTAGCCTTTTAAAAATTTGTCACAGCAAATGTGATAAACAAGTTTACAAAGCAACACTGTAGCTTATACATCATTTAAAAAGTTGTTTAACAGGCATCTATTGTCAATGCAATAACAATAAACATAAGGAGAGCAAATAGGTCAATGTGGCATCACAAGCTTATCTTAGATAAACTAGTTCCATCATTTTATGCAATTCTCAGTAATGCCAGGAGTAAAATATCAAGCAACCCATTGACACATTGGCAAAAATGTCTGTTTGTTATTCCAGTTGTTTGTTGAGCAGCTATTTTACTCTCATACTGTAATGAAATGAAAGGGGAATTAAGATAATGCTTTTTTCTGCCATATTGCTATTCAACTACCTCTTTATGCTTGATTTCTCTTTAGGATTTTCTTTCCTCCAAATCTGTGCAAAGAAAAGTTTCAGCTCATCTAAGTTGCAATAACAATGTAATATAGACAGTCTCTGTAAAAGCTGTTTATTCATTAAAAAATGTTTTCTATTGTCTCACTGTGTATCTAATCCAGCTCCACCTATATGTTAGGGCAAAAGTTACCCAAATACTTTCATTTTGTTGGAAGCCGAATAGAGGGGAAAGCAATTGAAACATCTATTTTGTTCATGTTCCTATTGGTGGTAATACTTTTGACCGGAAGATCTTTCAAGGAAATAGGCCTGCACTCAGATAGCAAGCTCTTTGTACAGTGAGGAAGGTGTGAACTGATTAATGTGACATGTTCTGAAAACCTGGCTATAGATTAATTGGTTTTAAGCATGTTTCAGAAAGGCTTGTTGTTTAAAAATTATGTTGAAGCATTTTGCCAATAATCTACCCTCAGCTTATTGTAAATCCATTCATATATTGAGTTTGCTTAAAGCAGAGCACACTACCTACTCTGTTTTCTTTGGCATTTTAAAAGTGTTGATGAAAGCAAATTACACATTTTTATTTCAGTTAAACAGTTTCTCAACAATAGGCTAAAGCTAAGGCCCAAAGTGTGAACCTTTTGACAGGAAAATTGGTAACTGACTGGGACAGTGAACAATATTGACCAAACCGATACTAGTGAGAGAGTTTAGCAACAACTCATCTTATTTCCAGGACCCATTTTATCCCATGCTGCTGACAACTTTATACAGGTTCTGTTTTACCACCGAAGAAACAAATGACATGGGAGTGGGACAATTAAAAAAATGAAATGATAGAAAATTCCACTTGGGCTGGACCTTATTCTTTATAAAAGGATATTTTGGGAATTGATAAAAATCCGAACTCCTCCCCAACTAGGTCCCAGAGGGAATGCTTGGCTCTGTTGGTTGTTGCCTTTCTGTGCCCAGTCTGCCACATTCCGGCTCTCAGGAGGTAGTATACACTCTGGTCAAAGGAGCAATCTTCCCTCCAAGGCAGTTCTACCCAGAATTCTGGCATAGCTCTCTCTCTGGAGAACTGTGTTGGATCATCTAAAAAGAAACTCTGGTTTACAGTTGTCCCCTAGGCCTTGAGCAAAGCCAACACTTTGTCTCCTTTCCTTTGGATCCACTCTGGCAGATTTCAGTTGTCTAGGGCCAAAGATGCCTCTCTGGAAGGGACTTCCAGTCTCAAAATGAGATAGGGGCAAGAGAAGGGAAGGGAAAATGCCCTAGGCTCACAGGCTTCCAGATACTTAAACTTTCCCTTCTGCTCTTACATTTGATTTCTTCACTCCCAGGAGGGGCTGAGGTGAGATGGGAAGGGGCTGGTGGCAATACTCCTCAATATTTGCTTCTCCCTGGTCAAGGCAGAAAGTACAGGTGCACTGACTAGATCTCTAAAACCACTTACCCCTCCCTTTCCAGTTTTCTGTTACTGGTTTTCCCATTTCAACCGAGGCTCATGCTGACTGGTCATTCATGTTTGCTGTCCTCTTACACACATGGATTAGCAAATGTTGCATTACAAAGCCCTGAAAACCGCTTTCCTCCACTTACTCAAGTGCTCCCTTCCAAACCTGCCTTCAGAATGCTGCCTATCTTCCAGTAAGTCGATAGTAACAATTTTTGGATGCCACAAGTGCAACAAAATTAAGTCCTGAAATAACCCACTTACTCTAAATCCAGTTTTGCTATAAAAGTCTTGCTTCTCTTGGATTTTAGAGGCGCATTATGGGAATATTCAACACAGTCATGGGAACAGGGGAGATTGCTGCCCCTTTGGTTCATCAGGTAATATGGCTATTCCTAGCTTGCAACGACATTCTCAGGACCATGTGCTCCTCCTACAAGGCCAAATGAGCACTTTCATCAGAGAACCAGTAGTTGGGTTGGAGGGA